CCATCCAGCTGATATAGCTATAAGGGCTATTTGGGCTCCACCTGGTAGCCCATCACCCCCATCAGTAGCCCATTAAATCCATCAGCATGTTGCAACTGCCACACCTCCTTAATCCCCTTACCACAGATCTCATGGCCTCGGGCCTCATTCCTACAGGATGTCACTCAGGTCCCCTGCTTTCAGCATCAAATAATTCAGAGAGAAGACAGAGAAAGCAGGTGCGGATGTAGGAGATAAGCAGCAAGAATATGGGTCTGCTTATGTACCTTAGAATATCACTGTGAAGTTATTATTTGTGAAAAATGGAGCAAGAATTAGTCTTCTAATGTGGTTCTGCTCCACATAGATGCTAGTTTTGGACAATTTAAAGCCTGATGGCAAAGCCTTTTCTTCAGACTAATACTCCTTGCTTTAAAAAAAGTACTGGATGGGGCCCAATCAGCAAAACCAGCTTCTCTGCAGAGTCTGGGTGCATGAACTCTTTGAATGATTGCTTATATAAATACCATTATGAAGGAAGATTATATATAAAAAAGCAGCAATACCTAAGCAAGCTCCTCTACGGCTTGCACGTTTTTCCTTACCAGTCGTCTTGTTTTCTTTATCCTACCCTGACTCCAAAAATGTCTTCTAGAAACAAACTACAGTTCTAGCTGTAAGGAGATGCAGATGCCCTAACTAGGTGTCTTAGACAACGCTGGTCACTGAAAACTCCCTCTGTAATTATTGACGAAAAATATGTACCTCCTGGTAATATTCCTCTTATTCTAAGATACGTCTTTTTGACCTTACAATCACAGCCTAAATGTACCTTTCCTTGCTAGTAAATGTAAAAGCGGTAGCTCACAGAGATTGGTTTCAACTGGGAGTTGAATACTTCTTACCCATTTAGTATTTTATCAAAGCTCTCAAGTTCAATTTTACTTGCCAAAGGGAACTCAGCACTTCATGGGATGCAAACCTCCTGTTGATGGAGGATGTTAAGCACCTAAGGGTGATTTCTGATTCCTAGATGGGTTGAACTGCCCTCTTGACATGCCTCTGAGCCCTCTCTCCCTCTCCAAGCAATGGAGAACACAGTGTGACCAGATTCCTAATACAGCGCTTACATTAAAAACCTAAAGTTTGAGGAATATAGACCTGAGTGTTTACAGAAAAGATCCACACCTTTCCTCATCAAACCAAATGCAGAAGATTGTCGTAATTCCCCCAAATTTGAGCATACAGCCAAGTAAACATTCACTGAGCCTCAATAAATCTGAAGACTAAGTGCTTAAATCGCTCCTGACAATGAGTCTCATTCTCCTGATAGTGGAGATTGACAGCCCTACACCTATACTTTCATATTTCTGTTTAATAGCGTGTAAGAAAAGATTACAGCTTATTTTTTTTCTCTGTTCAGAATTGTTGCTGCAAAATACAGAGATTAAAGTAGAAAAGCTGGCACAGTGGTGGTTGCCCTTACCTAGCGTATGATTTTTAGGCGTGCAGCAGTAATTTCAGGTCAGATGGCTATGACCACTGTCTTTCCCCTGGAACGACACGTGGTGCCGAGGCAGCACAGTCTGCGACCACGTCCCCACCAGTGCTGGCTCTGCGATCTCCCCGCAAGCACAGCCCCGGCCAACTGCAACCATTATGGAGCTCTGCCTTGCGACCACGGCATGCTAAAAGTTACCACCTTGTGCACAGAGGCTTTTGGTTGTTCTTAGCTTCCAAAGAGCAGTTGTTTCTCTTGCTTATCTCAGTTAGTACCTCTCCTTAACAACGTGAGCTGTAATAAATGTGAATACCTTTGACTCATTGATATGAATTGTATGTTTCCGCATTCATTATTCATTATTTAAAACCCATTTTCTCACTGTGCATGTAACCGCAGTGAAGATAACCATTATTAATTCAGTAAAGTCTATATTACATTTGTTTGATTCCATTGACATGCCAAACAAAGGAGAGAGGATACCGACATCAGTGTCACTGGCCAAAAGTATTGATTATTTTCCCAACAAGCTAATCTATACATTGGGGTTTTTGGAGTCACTCTATGTTATACTTTAACCTTTCCTAAAGAATTTTTCTCCCCATGCAACTTTTAAATTTCTTATTAAGCTGTTGTGGTAAAATTAGAATGAGAAGACACTGAAAACTCTTCACAGAAAAAAGGAAATCAAGTCTGAAAGGAATTAAAAACCAGGAGAAGGAAACGTTACTTACAACATCACTATGTTCAGGTCATGTGCCAGTATGGAAGAAATCAGCCAGTGAAAATCACCCGAATAAATCTTGTTCTGCTGTTCCTCTCTCTACTTTTAGACCCATAGGAACCTGTCAGCTCTTGCAGGACCCATGAAGGCAGCTACGAAACAGGCCGTCCCTTTCAGTCTATATTTAGAGTTCATCTTGGCTAAGTATACTGACTTCTCAGTATTGATCTGTTCAAAAAGAAATCAGCACATATCCAGCTCTTTTTTATTGTATTGGAATCATTATGATAATGTCCTCCCCTGGAGAATGAGAAGGTTTGTTACTGATGATCAGCATTTCACTAACCTTTGGGTTTATGATGCCTTTTTAAAACTCGTTTTGCTATGCCGGTGTCATATCTACAACACTGTAGCTATGAGTAACCGGTTTGCTATGCAGAAGACTCATAGCGACAGTATTGCAGGCATGAGTACTTTAAAGGCATAGACTAGAAAAGAGCAGGGTATTTTCCTCCTTCTCCCACACACTGTACAAATTCAAGTAGGACAGTATTATGGGATGGATGAATTTGTACAGCATCCTTAGTTGTTTAAAAAATAAATTCTGACGAACTGTTTGTGACTACTGGGAATTGTTCCTTTGCAGACAGTTCTTTTGATCGCTAGGTTTTTCCTCGCTGACATTGCAGAACATAACGTCACAGCACGCTGTAATGACAGGCAGCTGACGCTTACACGAAGGGATCACAGCTCAAAACAACAAATCCTTTCTGAAGGCATTCTATACATCTACAATTTTGAAGCCCTTTAAACTGACAATAAATATATTTTTCTTTCAGGAAACAACAGAGAGGATACATCTTCTGACTGGTAGTTCCCACCCCAAGCTGACTGCTGCTGCCCAGTAATGCAGACTAACAAGCTCGCTCCCTTTCTGCAGGGGTCTCCTAGAACTCCTCCCTCCAAACAAGGACAGGCAAGCCAGAAGAAAAATCTATCTCACCTCCATCCCCAAAACATTCCCGACACCATCCTAACAGGAAGACAAGGACCCAGGCCTCTCCAGTTCTAAGCGTGAAAAGGTCTACAAAGCCACCAGATCTAGAAACCCAGCAGATGTACAAAGCCATGGGATCACTGGCACGCAGCGAAAGGGCCTGCTTCCCCTCAAAGAGCATGAAAGCCATCCTGGTCTCTTTGGTTGGCAGCCACAGTGTAACGGGGGAAAGAAAGGGCAGCCCTGTGCCTGGCCGTCTGCCAGGAGGGGCTGTAGAAGGCAATTTTGCAAAATACCAGCAGGACAGGATGCCATGAAAAGTGCTACTTTACGCTAGCCAAGCATGCCAAAGGTGACTACCCAGAAGCCACGGGAGACCAGCAGCCTTGTGGGAACAGTTTAGCTCAAAGGGGGCATAGGCTCAGGCAGGACAAACATAGGCAGCCAGCTTCATCTAGTTCAAGGATCGTAAGTTTCTTCACTTGTGTGACCAACACAGATGACAGACATCAATAATAGCACAGATTTCAGTTGGAGGCCTTGTTGTAGTCTAAGCAATCCATTTTGTAAGCCAAACAACTTCTTACCTAATGTATTATTTGAGAACAAAATTGTAAGTTCAAAGGTACAACTAACTAGCACATATGGATTTTCTGGAATAGGTTCTGCTACGATCTGAAACTAAAAACCAAACCAAACTTTTTCTTATCAGAGCAAGCAGCAGTTTCCAAGGGGTGGGGTGGGGTTGTTTTTGGGTGCAAAGTTTACTTCCTCTGCCAATAACTTGACTTACAGTTCTAAGAATGTTTATTCTAACAAGCACTTTTATTTATAGATCTTCTGGTTTGGAAGCCCCAACTAATCTAGGTTGTGGTGTCTTTATTACATAAAAGTCCCCCCATCATCCCCAAGACAGACAGTTCTCCGTTACTGGCACAATTCAGAGCCACAAACTGAGGGCAGAGGAGCGGTTTCCAACACAAGGAAAACAGGACAGCTGGAATGGCTCCTGCAAGATGAGGGACGAGGTGCTTTGCAGTACCTGAACTAGGAAACATTTGACCACTCCGGAAGCAACAGCAGGCTGTTTCGCAGACCGTGTGTATAAAAGACATACCCTCCAAACACACCACAGTAGAGTTTCATGTAGCATCTACTAAAGCACGGAGACTAAACCCAACCACACCTCTAAAGGGGCAAATAAACAAACCCATCTGTTTCAATCTCCAGGTTGTGCTAGCAGTCCAGCTTTTCATTCAATGTAGCAATCACTTTCACACAGAAAGCCAGCAGTGAGAAACATCTTTATTCCAAAAATTAAGCATCCAATTTCAGTACAGGAGAATCTTGGTTTTATTTTACATTGAGGCAAGTATTTGTCATTCACTACTCCACTGTAAGTGAAGGTAGTAACTTCAGAATCCCCTTAGAAAGTTTAAAAAGTTACTAAAATAACTTCACACAAACAATTTTATCTTTTCTTATTAACACATTCTTACCAAAATGCTTGGTCAATGAATTAATTTAATTTACCTTTATATAAAAAGTAAGGAATCCAGTCGGACACACAGCATTTGACTACAGTTACCCACCCCATTTACCAGTTTGGTTACAATATAGCCAACCTTTGGAGCAAGTTGCACTTAATGCAAGTGCTATAACGTATCCCTGCACCCAGTCTCACATCAATCTATATACAGTCTATAGGCAACTAAGCAACAACATGCATTATATTTACAGACTTTATACATAAACAAGTGCAAACTGTGACTACAGAAATTTAAAAAAAAAAATCATTTAAAGGTTACAAATCTATTTTAAATTGTGAAAATTGAACCCCGTGGACAAGGAGATCTAGAAAAATTCCCCCACATCTGCTCTTTTATCACGACATTTACTTCTAGCCTTTGTCCGAGCCTTGAATGCTGCAGAGTTGTACAAGTGCTACAAAACAAAAGAAAAATTTAAATCGCAGATGTTCAAAAAGGCTTATGTCCTTTAGAGATTATTTTTTTTTAATGTAAAGAAACAGCTGAAAGTATCTTTTTATTAATCTTTGAAGTAAATCGGTATGCCTTCTGAAATTGCTAGTATAATATCTTTGCACCAAAGGCTGATTTATTTTAATATATATACACCTGTAAAAGAAACTTGGGCTGTGTAAGAAAGGCTGAGCTAGGAGCAACTCTGGAAGCCAGTGAGTTCTGAACATCATACAGACACAATGCAGATTAAGTTTGCCCCTGGATTAAACTTGGTAGCAGCATTCCACACCTTGTTAATACTCGGGATGAGTACCTTCACAACCAATATAACAAAGTCATCCTCCTTGCATCCGTTTCATGCTGGAGAGTTCGGGATACTGTCTGTATGAAGGACTCCGTTTCTATGGTTTCCTGTAGGTCCCTATCCAAAACCCTATGGCTCTCATAAGAGCCCAAGTTTCACATGTATGGAGCATGGATCTGCAACCTGCAGACCCCCTTGGGGAGAAAAACAATAGCAGACACATGCCCAGTGGAAAACCTAAAATAAGCGCTCAAAGACGCACACAAGGAAGGTTTGGTTTCATTCAGGACAATATGGGGCACTGTTAGAACTAAAGTGACAAGTTTAAAGACGACAGCTTCTGAAGTGCCTGTGTGGAATACCGTTTAGTTGAGGAGAAATCTATTAGTGTAGGAAGTAAAGAAAATACATTAAGGTGCAATAACTTACCCTTTCAAAACGGGATATCTTCATTGTTTTAAGAGTTGCAGCATCTAGCATGACTGGTGGACCAAGCTCAAACACATTCCGAAGAAAGTCATTTGACTAAACAAGAAACACATCAAATGATCAGCTTCTCCTCTGATTATCAAGTCTCCAAAGATGACTATCAAGTATTCCAGGAAGAAACAGCAGCAATTTAACACAAATCTTAGTATCTTTTGCAATTAAGCTAGAGAATACTTCTTCCTTTAATCAGAAGGCTAAAAACTAAAACTGCTCTCTTAAGACAATGGAGACAGCTTCCCCTACTATTGATTTTTTTTGTCCCAGCAAACTAGACACGGTTCTGTTACATCCTCTGCACAAGATTAGGCAGCTGGACACAGACCAGTATGGTTTCACAACACACCAATTTTAAAATATCTGGCTGTAAAAGTAGTATTTGAAAAATGTGAAAAAGCTGCTACATGTCTGGGCTCTCTCAGTAATGCAGCTGACACTGAACAAAAGATTTTAACCCCATGATTATCAGCACAATTTGGGAGTGAATACTCCTAAACTACAGTTCCTACTTCTGTTACGTATCTAAACAGATGACTTGGTGAACAAGCGGTTCCTGGAAGAGAGGTAAGGACTTATCCCTTCCCTTCTGGAATGCTGTCACCATTGGGCTGCAAGTTGTGTTCATTATTTTCTGACTAAAACTTTGCATTCCTTTTTACAGGCTTGAAAAGGGAGAGTGGAGGCATGCAGCTTTATAGCAGCCAGACGACGACTACACTCTGCTGAAAGAGAGCATAAGGATTCAGGAAAAACCCTGAAACTAAGAAGATACTCAGCTTGAATCTCTTACTTCTCTGGAGAATTCTTCTAATTGCTAACCCAGCACACCCAGGCTACAACTGGGAAGCAGCTCACCCAGACAGCCCTAGCTCGCTGTCATTCATTTTGTAAGTGCTGTCTGTTAACACTTCTAATGCAAAGCCCTTCATTTCACCAAGTTTACTTGTGAATTTGTAATTCAGACTCAATTACTACAAAGTTTTGGTAATTCAGACTCAATTACTACTTCCCAGACAGGGAACAACAGTCTGAGCACGTAGCAAACAGCAGCTCACCTGCAAATGATATTGCATCCCTGACCCCAAAATCTCCTTGAAAGTATCGTAAGTTTGTTTTTTAACCCAGCAGTCAATATACATGCGCTCAGGTCCAAACTTAACCATCTCTGTAGGAAAGTCACGCTCCTATCCAAAAGTAAAGGAAACAACATATATAATTTTAATTTAAACAGTCTTTTGCATTAGGAATTGTATATATCTCAATGAACTTTATTTTCATTAATAAATTTGGCCAGAACCTTCCAAATATAATATAGTATGCATATACCAAAGACTGTATTTGTTCATAAACCTAAAGTTAAATCTCATGTAAGACTTGAAGCTGACATTCTTCAAGTCAGAAAGCATTTTAGAAAAAAAAAAACCAAAACCAAAACACTTAACTTTCATCTTTAAAATGACTTGAAAATTGGACTTATCTCCAGAAAAACCAGTTCTGAGTGCAGGAGTCACCTCTAAGTCAGTCTGTAAGTCTCATTTAGTTCCCACCTTTCAAGCACAACGAGCTACATTTGTGACAACAGAATGTAACAAGTCCTAATAAGTGACTTGGATTACTTCTACAGGCAGAATCTCAAAGGTGACTTCAAATCACTTCAAAGCCGCCGCCTTAGTTTCTGAGATGTTTAACTGTTCTGACTGTCAACTAGTATTTAGTTGGCCTTACCCATACAGCAATGTAAAAAGTAATTATCTGACAAGTAAAAAAATTTAGTTTGAGAGGTGTATGATAACAAATAATTCAAAGTGATAGAAGTTTGACATTTGTCTTAGAGGCTTTACTCAGAAGTTATGTCGCTAACCAAGTATTTGGGGAGTCCTGCTTTGTGTATTGTTCTCAATCCGGATATGGCAAACCAGAAGATTACAGCACAACAATTAGGACAACTCCCCCCCTGAACACACACTTCTTTGGCGCCTGACAGAAGTGCCATTTGGAAACACATCTTACTGCTAAGTTGCTTTTTGTTTATTACACACAGCAGTTCAGTAAGAGATTTTACAATAAGTATTTTCACAGTATTCAGGACATTAATGTGGATGTCCTACAAAGTTTTCTATGAAAAAAAGCTGCTGATGGTATAAAACAAAAAGAATTTGGTATTTACAGTGCAATGTTTAGCCTTCTTTAAAGGATAAAAAAAAAAGCCTCTTCAATATGGAAGTCAAGTTTGGAGTAAAATAAACAATTTGACTTTTTGTTCTACAGTCCTAAAAAAAGTTATATTTTGCACAAGTGATCAGAATTTGCAATCGCATTGAAAATAATTTTTTCCTGTTGCTTTCACTGAAACAGTAATTCTATTTAATAATAAACCCATTTTCATTAAATTGTACACTACATAGTTACAATCCAGACATTCAAAGTAAGACAAAAGAATCACCTCAACAGCTCGCAGAACATCTCTGAAGACAGATCGCTGCTTTCTTTTATCTACTTTGGCTCGGTGCTTGTTTCCATCAGTAGCCAGAGCTCTTAGTTTCTCTGTTAGAAGTTCCATATCTTCATAAAAGAAATCCTAGTCAAAAAAAAATTTTTTTGTAGTTTCTTGCCTTAACATCTTTCCCTGCAAATAGGAAAACTGCTCTCTCCAAATTCTGTAGACCTCTACAACCTGTTACTTTGTTATTTAGAGTCAAAGATGGCATTAACTTCCTGTACTTCCATTTGCAGCATTTAAATCAGTAAGAACAAAGTCACAGCATCTGGTTTACCGAGTAGGACACTATCAAGTAAACATTAATGAATAATTGTTTAGCAGGAAATATTTTCTCCCCTCCATTTACTAATTCAGCCATAGTTTACCTGGATCAGTAAGAATGTATGTAAACTTATGCAAAACCAAGTTTTTGTGGTTGTTTTGGTTTGGTTTTTTGTTTGGGTTTTTGTTGTTGTTGTTTTTGTTTGTTTGTTTTATTTTTCTTTTTCCATCAGAATGTTTTGTCATGTCAACTGACTAGGCTGAGTTTACTGCATGCTTTTTGAAAGAAACTGGTCAAAAGCAAAACACCGTAAGCGTTTTTAATCTGTGCTCATTGTTAAGGTGCCAAATAGAATAATTTGTAATGATTAAAGGGGTATTTCCTCAATGGATCAGAAGAGGTTTTTAGTGAATACAGTCTCACTCATTAATGCATTTTAAGATTTTAGTTACTTGCACTCAGTTTGACCAAATAAAGGACCAAGTTCCAGTCTCTTATTTATCTTTCAAAGTTGGCTTCCATAGCCAAGAGACTCAAATCCCTGCTGTTTACAATTAGACAGAAGTTTCAGCATATTGTTTCAGATTACGCAGTGTCAGTGTGTTGTCTATCCTGACTTAACTGGAGTTATCTTTTCACTTTGGACAGTGTCCTGGCAAAGTACAGCAGCCTTGGTCGAGCTAGGAGCTATTCAGGCAGCTCTCTTCAACTGTGCCATGGGTAAGCGGAGGCTGTTTCCCTTCAGTGCTCTCAAGAAAACAGTTCAGAAATTAATAAGGTGTATTAAAGAATGTAAAGGGTAGTTTAGCTGTGTATGAGGTAACATTGAGAAGCTTGCACCTACTCCAACTTAAAAGCAAACCCCAAGAAATCTCACCAAATGTGGCAATACTGGCATCTGTGCAAAACTTGTGCAAATCCTTTCAAATTCTCCCCCTTTAATTTTGACTGATTAGTCCCCAACTGACAAAAATAGTCACAAATGCTGTAAAACCATCAGGCAATACCAGTTATTCTTCTCATGGTACCTAAATAAGAATACTGAAAAAAAAATACTAAAAGTCAACGTGGTTTCTACTGAAGGATAGATTTTTAGCTGTGAGAGCAGAGCTCTGCAGGTTGTGAATCACTGGAACTTTGTCTGCATACAGATCTAAGGAGTGTTCCCACTACCATAAACAGTACTGTTCTATCCTGGAATCTCTCTAGGGATTTTTAAAGCTGGCGTTGGATTTAGAATTTAAAGCTTGCACACTATATTTGGTGTGTTTTGTTATATTGGTCCTGTTTTGCAATAGGGAAATTAGTGCAAAAATGATAGCTAAATTGCTGTACATCGTTGCTATACCCACTTCGATCGGGGCAGGCTCACTACAATGAACGTAACCCAATGAATTATCTGCCACTTGTTGAGATCCAGTGTGCTATGCAACACAGGTGAAATAATTTGTCTTGTCATCATCCCAAGGCAAGAAAATTTAGCTGCTGACATCTACTTACAGCATCTGTTTCGCGTGCCAGTTCAAAGAGAAGGGCTAGTGTTTCTCCAGCAGCTATTCTCATGTTGAGGTCATCGCAAGACAGCAGACTTGGAAGTTTATGCAAGTGCCTATGCAATGAGTCACAGTTCATTAAGATGTAAATTTGGTTGACGCTGCTTCATCACATAGAAAAACAGTCATTACAAACTTTGTTTTCCAAGAAAGATACTCACATTTCAATTTTCTTCTTCACCTCATTCATTGGACAAATGGTCAACAACAGTGTCCATGCTAAGAGAGCGCTGATGTGAAGCACAGTATTATGGGTACTCGATACACCATTAGTGTCTCTGTCTCGCTGATAGGCCTTTGAGAAGACGTTTTCCAGGCATTCCATAGTAGAGTACAGTTCCTGAACAGGGGCAGAAAAGATAATGGAAGCGGCTTAAGATTCACACATTTTCACATTGTCAATTTATTATAAAAGAAGTATTATTTATCCTCACCATAATGTCATCAGTGACGATGAAACAGCAAATCCCTAAGCAGGTTGCACACTACACGAAAAAGAAAAAAGTGTCAGTATTTGACATTAACATTATTGTTGACAAAACTTTCAAACTTTGACTATCAAAATTTAACATCTGGAGTAATGGAAACTTGAGATTAAGACCTTAGCAGAGTGTACGTCTTCAAGACCATTTAATTCAGTTACTTTGTAATAGTTAGCCCTCAGCTCCTATCTACTCTCAGCATGATTTTACAACATATGCTACTCAAAAGCCTTCACTTTTCATGCTGTATTATTTAATATAGCTTACAAAGCCCTTCTAAAAAGCTAGATGTAGCAGTCCTTTCACCCAATTATTTTAAATCCCACTACGATTCACTAGCAGAAACCAAGCTGATAAACAGCAACAGACATACGATATTTATTCACAGCTGTGGGAAATTATTTCCCCTCTCTGCCCACTATTGCAAATAAGTTTGATGAAAACACTGGACTTCAAGACCCTTTCCTGGAACTTTCCAACTTTTGCTGTGAGGTCCTACACATCTCCTCCCTATACCCTATATTCTACTGCATCTCCTCTTACAAAGAGTAAGAAAAAAAAAAAGTTTGAATCTGATGTTTGCACTGAGCGCACAGGACTCAATACTACACTTAAACAGGACAAGCTTTAATAGCTTTTGTTTCTTTGTAGAAATGACTGCTGTTGAACTAATACTACCTCCTCTTCCAGCTACCAGTATCTACTGTGACACAGCTTGCACACAAGGGGAGAAGTAGCCAGCTATGTAATGATAAAGGCAAGTTGGAGAATATTAGTTAAAACTCTAAAAGTTTAAAAAAATCTTAGCAAGAGCTTTAGACTGTCTTCAGTCAATAGTCCAAGCATATCGCTGATGCACAGATGAGATGACTGAGTGAAAAAATTAATTCTGGTAGTATGAACATATGTAGTTCTACATCTGTTCTATGTAATTTTATCATATATAAATACATTCGCATAAGTAAGATTCCACTGCTGTTAAAGAAGTTAAAATTAATACAGGAAGGATACATTGGTCAGTGGGAACACTTTCCTTTTTTTTCTGTCAGCCCTCAGAACTGCAGTAAGGAGACTGCAACAGACATTTGCCAAAGTACTAGATGTAACAGCTCGTTAAGGAAGTTCCTAGGTTGAAGGAGAGAATGACGTTCAACCTTTAGGTGGAACTTCTTAAGCTGGTGAAAACTACTATGCATCACTCAGAGCGTACGTCAATGTTATGAGTAGTTTACACTACTGTGGTAACCTTTGGTTCTGGATTCCACAACATTGAGCTGGTCAAAAACTGCCCTCTGTCCCTGACAGGCAAATAAACATTTTTATACTTACAGCTTGTCTGGCTTGGATACTGGCTGCTCCATCACAGACAATCTTCTTCAAAACTGGACCAAGGGTTTTAAAAATCTCTTCGCTCTCAATTCCTGACCCCATCTGCACACACAGAAGACACGCCAGTCCAGCAGCTGCACACTGTTCGTCGCTCTTACCTACAGATTAACATACTATGATGAGTCATCACCTTGTGCACTGCTTCCTTCCTTTAACCCTTTAAAGATAATAGTCTGAAAACTTGCAGGCGGAAATTCTGAAACCAATAGGCAGAAGGTAATTTCAGTTAATTTTCTAGGTCAGTTAAAATATGACATCTAAATTAAAAGAAGGAATGTTAATGTAACGAAATTACTAAGCACTCTGTAAAGTACTAGAGAAGCCTCTCAGTTTTAATTCCTTTTAAACAATGAGCTATTTCATAGGGATTATTGCTTTCTAATAGCAAGCATGTTAATTACCTTTCTTTATGCAGCGTTCAATGCTATCAGTTAGCGTCATTCTCCTTTCCATGATAAATTCATACAGTATTTTAGAAGAAAAAGCACTTTTCAGACTTTCAAGAGCTGCTTGTCTTGTCTTTGCACTGTTAAAAAGAGAGAAGGAGGACCTCTTGAAATCAGCACACATCAGTTAACGCTCAGCCTTTGTTTTTATGGCAGTTTATATTTGTCTGCACCTAATGGAAGAGTAACCCACAAAAGCATCAGGAAATACGAAATGCTATGAATTCCTTCTTTCCTCGAGGACAGAGAAACTTAGGTTGAAGATACAAGTTCACAATAGTACATCAGGCTAGAAATAAAGTCACTCTACTTCAAGCTATTAGGAAAGGAAAGTATGACTCTCACTTATCTAAAAACTCAGAGGAGGGAAAAAGGTCTTTCCAGACCAAGAAGAAGAGCCAAGTCCTCCCCAGTGTGAAACAGTTGTAATTTCAGTAAGCGTATAAAAAAGTTCAATGCATATTTCCCTTGTTATATCAGAGGAAGCCAGTAAACAACGTATGAATGTGTTTCTTCAAGGCATACTGTACCTCTTGTCCAACGTAAGATCAATAAATCCCTTCAATTTGTATTCAAAGTCTTCTTGAGTGGCTTCTTCATCAACTTCAGGCCCTAATCCAGAGGAAATAATTTAGTCCTACTAATACACATTTTATTAGCAGACACAGTAGTATCCAACACTTAATGTTTTTAATACTAATAAGAAAGCAGTTTAACACAGACAATAGCTACAGAATTGTTCAGTATTACAGCAACAGAATGGTGTTGAGCCTACTATATCAAACTGCCCTTTAAAATACTTTTATAAATATTGATCTATTGATACATCCGTGCTGTTTCTATACCTGCTTCTCACACATGCCAAGAATGAGTGCGGGAGCTAATCAGGACTTACATAGATTTGCTACAACTGACACCCATCAGCCAGTCCTGTCAGCAACCCATTCTCACCGAGTCCACTACACCCACCCCTGGAGCACAGCGGGGCGTTCCCCGTGGATGCAGGGAGCACAGTCTAGACAGCCTGTCCTCTCGGGCATCGCTTCAGATGCCTCTGCAACAGCAGCTCGGTTACGAGCAGCAAGTACTCACAGAGAAGGCTCCCTGCCTTACATCCCCCTGTAGCAGGCTTTCAGGTCCCCTCCTGCCAACAAAATGACATTCGAGCAGCACAGGCTGCAGAGATGGCAGAGGAGACAAAGTACAAATCTAGTTCCAAACTGGCAAATGTGACTATCTCAAGCTCTTCTGCAGTTCTTACCACCTCAACTATGTGTTATGAAAATCAATGCCTTATAATGCACCTTAAAATTCTTATTGTCTCTAAAAGTCAGCATTTTGTAATTCTAATGGAAAAAAGCCTAGTAGTTTCATGAGAAGCTCAGGAAACTTGGAGTATATTCTTACCAAACAAAAACAATAGTCACTAGATTAACAATCACATCGGGTTTAATGAAGTCATTATTTTGCTACTGCTACTTACAGTCTAGTACTTAAACTCCTAAGTCAACTCAGGTTTTATGTTTTTAAAAAGATTAATAGATAGAAATGAATGAATATACCATCCTCAGTGAAGCTAGCAGGGTCACTGAAGCCACTGCAGTGGCTCATAGTTTCAATTGAAGCATCTTCATCACTAAAAGGCTGCACGTTTCTGGGCTGACCACCTAAAGGAAAGATGAATGCAACAGTTTGGTCATTTTTTTTGTACAGAAAAGGAAGATCTGAATGCAACCCTCCCAACAGATTCACTCTCCCTGACCCAGACGCAGAAAGCATGCTTCCTTCCTCTGCCAGTTCTTTTACTCCCACCTTGTCCGAAGACTTAGCTGGCTCTGTTCTGGAAGATCATCTGTGAACGGCAGGGAAGAGCCCACCTAGTTTTCAAAGTATTGGTAGAATTCCTAAGTCTAGATTTAGTATCTTTCTACAGTCAACTTCAAGTTAATGTAAATTCCTGCAGCTGTGCTTTAAAAATGTCTCTGTATTAATTGAACTGTTACGATGAGCTACCTAAAAAAGACTGCCATACAATCTCTATTTTTCAATTGTGAGGGACTTCAAGCCAGGATAAGTTATACATTTAGGCAAATATACATGCAGGATTTACGGGATTAAGTGTAGTATGTGCAGCATCAACAATGTCCAACCCTATTTGAATACTGAATCGCAAATACAAGCCAGAGCATCAAATGCTTCAACAGGGGAAAAAAGTTTTCCCTCTCAGGATCAAGAAGGCCTCGGTTCAGTAACTTCAGTCTTTTTGAAGAAAGCAGTATTATTTTTACCAGCGCTCATCTCTAGAACTTTTCATACCTGTATCTTATTGTTACAGTATTAAGAGTTGGAGGAGTTTGACCTGATAACACTAATTTCTGTTGCTGTCCTATCCTAGCCCTTAATTTGCGTCTAGTAAAGTTGGTTAACAAAAGAATAGTTTCACTGTTATTTCTCCAACAGCTCCCAAACACCATTTACAGAACTTGGAATTCTGCTATTCCACCCATTTTTTTGGGATACAATTGATTCTAAATTATTTAAAGTGGCAGTGCACACTGCTTGCCAGCGTCAGGCAGGCTTCCTGACTACCAAGGCCCCCAAAAAGCACTTTTATCTAGGCAGAATCAACCTTAAGTTGATCACTGTCCAAGTGCTTTGCAATGAAGTTAAATTCACACTCCAGAGGTTTTTTTAGCTCTTGGCCGTAAACCATCCACTTGCATCGCTGACCATAACCCTTGATGTTTCCTATAGTTACAAGGGAAAACACTATCCAATGCCTGGATGAAGAAACTTGGAAGCTCAGAGCTCTGGCACAGCCACCTTACTGCTTCTAGCCATGTCAAACAGGGAACTTCAATGGGAGAAGTGGCAAGAATGACAGCCAGCCCTTCACAAACTAAAATAAAAACACCCGGTGAATTGCTCACTTCCTGAACATTTGATACTACAGACAGATGCTGCTCACAGCTATGGTAGCCTGAAGGGAAATTTCTCAGCCCCCCACAAACCCTCCACTCTGCCCAGGCATCACCACCTCAGCCACACACACTCCGCATCCGTAGGAAGATTGGGGGTTCTTTATAATACCCGCTTTTAGGCTGAGAAGGTTCTTTTTAAGGATACTACAGCCTTTCAGAGGACGATGCGCTGACGCACCGCC